TGGCAGGGTCTCGCCCTGAACGCAGCATTGGGAAAGGAGAGCAAAGCCAAAGTGGCTTTGAGTGGCATTGAGCCACTTGTACCAGAGGCACCTGCCCAAGCAAGTCCGAATGGAGCAGTGCACGAAGTCAATGGGGTGAGCCTGAGACAGGGAAAGAGAGAGGAAGAGAGAGAGAAAGAGAGAAGGAAGAAGAGAAAGAGAAAAGGGAAAGAAAGAAAAAGGGACAAAGAAAGAGGGGGGATAGAAGGAAGGGACAGAAAAAAAAAATAAAGGAGGGAGGGAGGAAAAAGATAATGAGATATCTATTCTAGTCCAATCACCGGCACCTAGAACGCGGCAATGACGGCACGTTTGAAAAGTAGAGCAAAGCCAGAGGTTGGTAATTTTTGCTGCAAAAAATCACAAAAGCTTCTGGGTTGTGCACAAGAAGGGACACATATGTCAATGCAATCCAGCAACATAAGATAAAGAAATACAAATAAAACAAATCAACAAGAATTGGCAAAGCATCTCTGATTAGATTTTATTCACTACTAGAATCTAATCAGAGATGCTTTGCCGATTCTAGTCCAATGACCTGCTCCAGCAGGGTTGGAAGGGTTAGAAGGGAGTGTGTGTGTATGTGTGTGCATGGCTGTCAAAACTCTAAAAACAGGTCAAGTAGTTCTGGGGAGGCCAGTCATAAATTAGAACACTTACTAAGCAACTGGCCATTAGGTGAGGATCACTTGTATTTGCTTTGCCAGTCACCAAACCATGACTAGCCAGTCATGTGACCAGCAAGCCACACCCACCCAGTCACATTACCAGCAAACCACACCCTCAAGTTAGGCCACGCCCACATAAATTTGAATCCCACCCCTGGGTGGGGGGGCACTGAGGATGAGTTTGTAGCACCAAGGGAGCCGTGGACTGAAAAAGTTTGGGAACCACTGTTCTAGACTTTTATGAACCACATTGTTAATTGTAAAACAATACTATTTTAAATAATATAGCCAAAAGACAAATAGAGATAGATGCAAGCTTTTCGTGTTGACTCATCAGTATCTCCATACCTCCATTATAAAACAGTTAAAATCAGGCTCAAATATAAGATCTAGCAAGAGTATTAAGCCTATAACATATACAGGAAAGCAACCAACGGCAAAGCCTTACGTTCACATAGGAGGCGTAAGATTGACATAAGGCCATTTTTGCATGCAAAGGAGGCTTCAAACGGTAGAATTGTAATGACAACCGCCTTAACAATATTTTAATTAATATTTCAAAAAGTTCCTTAACTTTCTAGTTCCTTATTTTCTCTATTTAGTCTGCAAAAGCTACAATGAAACATTATAGTTCATATTCCACATAGTATAATCAGTGTAAAGAAACTACGCGGAAAAGAACTATTTGGGAGACTGAATTCCGACTCAGCCACTATCGGATGCATTGGTTTCAATCGAACCTTTCAAAGCAAAGAGAAAAAGAGAAAAAAAAGGCTGCTTGGTGATGACAGCGAAAGCCCTTAAATGCATTGTATTCTACACCGTATTATTTTATCACCGGCGTACTGGGAAAGGGCGGGAAATAACCTAAAGAGTAACAACAATACAACGCCACTTTCCGACTTTGAAACCCCTAAGCTACCGCACTAACCCCTCCTTCCAAAAAGCCGTTAACCCGCCTTTTCGCCCACGCGACCATTAAAGGACTTCGTTTCCATCAGTGCGAACATTCGATCAGCCAATGATATTTTAAAGAAGACGCTCGCGAGGTTTTCGTTTCTTCACCATGGCAACCTTAGTCCAGTAAATCGTCGCGTCTTCCTCGTTGTGGGCCACCGGCGGTTCGTCATGGTGAGCAACCGAGGCTTTTGCTGTTTTTCAGCTGCCCCTTCAATATTCGGTTATGCTCTTGCTTCACTTCCCGGGAGAAATGGAATTTGGGATTATTCGCGCAAAATGTGGTGCTTCCCTCCCCCAACTCAAAAGAGGCCCGATCGCTCCCTTATCGTATTCCAAATTATCAGTTTAGATCTTTACATTAGAAATTAAAATCGTGTAACATTAAGACTCCTGTGAACGCCAAGGATAGGGCTACCAATTCTTGACTGCAAAAATCCGTATCACTAGATAGCAACAGAGACAGAAAGCGCACGCTGTTTTTATAACACTGATAATGGAAGCTTTTACTTACGCCGAATTCGCATTACACTCTGATACTTGCAGCATTTGATCACGATCCTAACCACCACTCACACACACCCTTTTCTTCTTTTTGCTAGTTTATTATCAAACCGCTTACAGGACCATTCTTAGTATTGGTTTGTGCTGGATAGGTCAGACAAAAAGTGCATCTTTTTCAGTACGGGTATTTCTTGCTTTGAATGAGTGAGCATGGGACTGTTGGTATCAAATGAATCTGAGAATGACGATGATGAATTTCTATTTGATATTCTCTCATTCTTGTTTTTACTTTTTCCATATGCTGTTCTTTTCTAAGAGTATATGAAAATTGTATATATTTATTCAGTTTATATAGTATTTATTAACATGGCTACCAGGTTTGGTTTTTAAATCTGGACAATGTAATTATACAATGGGTACAGTCACTTTAAAATGGTGTATAAATATATACAGTATTTTATTAAGGGGCAATAATTCTGAGTATATTTTCATAAAATTTTCTGTAAATCATTTCTTTAGATATGTACCTAAGTACCCTTTAAATTAAGCATATAAGTCTTTAAATATTATAGAAAATCCTCATTATGTGTATTTGTATTTTGAATTCTATATGCAGGCAGAGTTGGGTCTAAATGATCACCACCAGAATGAAGTAATCAACTACATGCGATTTGCACGCTCTAAACGTGGTCTGCGTCTTAAGACAGTAGATTCTTGTTTTCAAGACCTTAAGGAAAGCAGGTAATATGAGAATGGGAAAATTAACTTAGAGGCCAATTTTAGTGATAATCTTTAAATGTATTGTTGAAAATGTGTACTTTAATTAGAGCATAATCATATTTACCAATATGAAAATGTAACAATACTGCAATTAACGCATGAGATTTGGAAGCATCCTCATGCAGTTTAAATCTTTTTAATTTTATTTTGAATATTTATACCAGATAACATATGGGACATATAAGTACTTCTTTACAAAATAAATAATAAGACTCAAGCACATTTACTAATATTAGAGTCTACAATATTTTGAATTCAAAGATAAAAAGTTACTTTGGAACACAAGCAAGCATGCAACCAGGAATGTGTGCATAGGATATCCAAATATTCAAGATGGCAGCTGTGTTTGTGTAACACACATAAAAGATATATAACTTCAATCATAGCGTCCTAGCCACTATTTAGAGGTGGGGGCGGTTTGGTCCGCTTTCTACAATTTTTAAAGCACCATTCTCACACAATTCAGTACTGGGAAAAGGCACTGTTGCTTTAATGAATGCTATATGAATAAAAATCTCATTTTTGCCTTTGAATCCAAAAGGCTGCACAGTCAAGATGTGCATAATCTCTTTCTATATTGCATTTGTTATTAGTCTCTTATATAATTACTCCAATATTGATTAAAATCAGTATTTAGAATTGACTCCCAACACCTCTCTTTTTAATAAAATGGGAGGCCAAATTGTGGCATATTTGTATATAGCCATCTTTATTATGGTATCAACCAACCCTTCTCTGCTCTTATAGCCTCTTCTCCTTGTGTTAAAAATGTTTTCAGTTTGTTATTTTATTAAGTTTATGTGTACCAGATTTTTATATAAATTGTTTTAAGCCATTTTGACAGTGTTTTGCCAAAAAATTGTTATAAAATATAATCTAATCCATATTATAGAACTCAAATATGAAAGACAAGCATTGTACTCTTATTAATTAATTATAATGTGCAAATATTTGTTTCAAATTAGCTTGTTTCAATAATACCATAAAGTGGAATATTTAAAATTCTTTAATTAACCACTGTTAGGATTTTGCCCTGTATATTTTGTGCACTTAGAATACTTTACTGGTTTCATCATAGCCTATCACCTTTTGATTACCTATCTTCAGAAAATCCCTTATGAAGTATGAGAAAATATCATAGAAAGTTAAAATTTGATTATGGTATCACCCACATTCATGCAAAAGCAATTCTCTTCCATATATCAACCATAATTTTATTTAAATGCAGTTCCAACGGAAAGTTTAATATGGGAAGAACACATAGTCCTTGACTTATCATCATTTATTTAATGATGGTCTGGAATTATGATGCTTTACAACTCATAAAGGACTTCTGACCATTGCAAAATGTTGCACTACAACTACCCTCTTGAAAATCCTGCTTGGATTTGGCAGGGAAGATTTTTGGCTCTAGAGGGCAGCATTCTAGGGTCTTTCTCACTCCCCTTATACATCCCACGCTCCTTACCTTAAATTCTATCCACTTAACCTGTGCCATTGCTTAATGACTACAACCAGGAGTGCTGGGATTACAGTCATTAAGGAAAACAGTCACATGGGCAGTAATGTGGATATCTTGCTTAACAATGCTGCACTCAATGATTGAGATTCTGATTCCAATTGTTAAAAATTGAAGGCATCTGTATATAGATTGACATAATAAATAAATATAAAATAAATAAATAATTTACTTACAAATTTAGAAATGATATTCTTAATGTATTAGTTTCATCTTTGCTATTTATTGATGAAATGATAATGTCCTCTGAGACTGAATTTGTGCTGGTTTTTGCTAGTTTTGTTGAATAAATTCTGAATAAATTTATGAATAAATCTGAATTTCATTGATGATATATTACATCTTGTAATATATTACATCTTTAGTGAAATGGAATGCCTATGTAAACTATACTTTAAATATGTTTTTGGAATAATAGTTTTTTAAATTATCCTATTTCTGGATTTTTCTCTTTAGGCTTGTGGAAGATACATTCACTGTTGATGAAGTGACAGATATCCTGGATGGTTTACAGACTGTAGTGCATAGTGAGGTGGAATCAGAACTTATTAATACAACTTACACCAATGTATTACTTATACGACAATTTTTTTCTCAGGCAGAAAAATGGTGTCTTAAATTGCAGACTGATATTTCAGAACTGGAAAATAGGTGAGGACTTTAAAGATAACTCATAAATTTTAAATATTGCTATTAATATAAATGCTTTCTTTAGTCATAATGTTATCAGTCCAGTACATTAGTATAATAATCTAGTTTGCTATTCTTTCAAAAGTATGTTTTTAATTGTCTTAGTTTCAAAAGTAATTTTTTCATTTGAGACATCTTATTAATGTTTCCTGTTTATATTATAAAGACACCTTCAAGTTAAGCTCAAATCCTAATAACTGTGTTTGCATTTATATTGGCACTATTGCTGAGGATGTTTGTCATTGCTTTTTCTAAGCTATTTTTTTACATTCAAATCTAACTAACAACCCTGGAGTTCTCAGGTGCCCGCTCCTATCAAGAATCTAGTGTCAGGCATAAAAGAATAGGTCCAAACCTGAAGGGTCAATTTAACTGATTTATTGCAGGAAGCCTATGTTCAGAAATCTTCTCATCTAATAATCAGTTTGCCTAGAGTCAGATAATCACAGTCATGTGGAGGAGTGGGGGTGGATATACTCTGTTTGAGTCTATGTAGTGATTCTAGGCTAATCCACCTTTTCACCCCTCTCCCTGGCTCTGCCAGTCCTTCTCTTACATCTAATTATCATCTGAGATCAACCAAGGTTGAGCTGAGAGATTCTGCGATCTATTGAATGTAATTTAATGTTCAATGGACTTAACTAAAATATTTATTGCTTTTTCAAGGGATTTATTAGAGCACGTTGCTGAGTTTGAAAAATCAGAATTTACATCTTCAAATAAGGTATGACTTTATTTTTAAAAGAATAATTAAACGGAAAAATAGCTGTGGGTTTATATTGTTGTCATAGGTATATGTATGAGGATTTTATAGAAATTTTGTACATTATTCTCATTTTTTGTCCTCAGCAGGTTTTTTTACTGCCTTGCTAAGTTTGATATCTGGTAGCACAAATCAATGCAAAGTATTTTGAATGCTTACTGTGTTCAAGTCTGAATATGTGACCAGTCAGCAAGAAAAAGTTGTTGAATACGGTTTGTCAATTGCAATTTAAGGACAAATAGTTAAAGAAATAGTTAAAGAAAATTACTGTCGGCATTAGGATTGGAAAATGTTGGAGCCAATATTAAAGGGAAAATTTTACCAGTTGTACCAGTTGGATAAGTCCAGTTTACCAAGATTTAAATAAATTGTTTCCTGAGGCCAACTTATTATTTATTTAGTATAGCAATTCCTATATAGATGTTAAAAAGCTGCAATACAGGAAAACTATATATGGGATTACAATTTACCTTTGTGACTTCAGATGAAATCAACAGAATATCAGAGATATATTGAAGATATTTATCAACACAATCCTATTTTAAGAATCCTTCCAATGTTACCAAAGGATGTCATAAAGCAGTTTTTTGCTTACTAAGTTCAGATCCAAAGATACATACAGAATTTGCTTTAAAAATTTCAATGGTATGTAGCATCAGAAAAATCACTTGGAAAATATAAAGCAGATTTTCTAATCTCTTTTTAACTACCAAACAAAATTTGTTTTTTGTTTTTATATTTGGTGTTATTTTAATTTACCGTATATACTCGAGTATAAGCTGAGTTTTTCAGCACATTTTTTGTTGTGAAAAAAACCCCCTCAGCTTATACTCGAGTGAGATTCCCCTCTGAAAAAAAAATGGTGTGGAGCTCCGGAGCTGGGCAGCCGCTTCCCTGCTTCCATGTTTCCTTTGCAACTTGTAAGCATGGGGGTAATCGGAAGCAGAAAAGTTCTTGCATGAGGATATATTGTTTTTTCTTTTTTTAACTGTTTTTTGGGGTGGGGAAGACCCACCGTCATGTGAGAATGCTCAGACACGAAATCTATCTGCCCGAAAATAAGTGTGTGTGTGTGTGGGGGGGGGATTTTAACAGAGGGAAGACGTAGGGAGAAGGCAAAAGCGACGGAAGATCCTTCAGGGGAAACGGGGAGACTCACCCTTGGTCCAGGTGAGCCCCCTTCCACGCCCCTAAGGAAGCAGAGGCAGCCAGCAAGGGCAGGCAAGCCCCACTTCGCGGACTCCGTCCGTCCTCGCTCCCACTCACCCACCCACCCAAAGCCACGAAGTCCCCCAATCGCGCAGCCCAGAATTGCCCTCCCCTCAGGGGGCAGCAATGATGCCCGGTGTTTCCCAAGACAAGAAGCTCCGCCGTGCAATGAAAGCGCCCTGGCTCTAGGCTTGCGGGCTCAGAAAACAACGCGAGCCGAGGTGGCTTCGGCTCCGCTTGGCTTCGTTTCCTCAGCCCCAACTGCTTTCAGTCTGCTCGGGAGGAGGGGGAGGAGGTGATGGCGGCGGCTCGCGTTTTCTGAGCTCTAGGCTCGCGGGCTCAGAAAACAACGCGAGCCGCCGCCGCCACCACCACCTCCTCCTCCCGAGCAGACTGAAAGCAGCTGGGGCTGACGAAATGAAGCCAAGCGGAGCCAAAGCCACCTCGGCTCGCGTTGTTTTCTGAGCCCACAAGCCTAGAGCCAGGACGCTTTCATTGCACGACAGAGCTTCTTGTCCCGGGAAACGCCAGGCATCTTTGCTGGCCCCTGAGGGGAGGGCGATTCTAGGCTGCGCGATTGGGGGACTTCGTGGCTTTATGTGGGTGGGTAGGTGGGAGTGAGGATGTTGACTTTAAGCGCTGCCGACCGAGTGTTTCACAAATACCAGTGGGACCTCCATCCACCACCACCACCCCTCTCTCTTTTGCCTCCTTCCTTCTGATCAATCAGGTTTTCCCAGTATTTGCTCACAGCTGCGTTTTCTCTTCTGCCGTGCTAGGGGTTGAACGCGGGGATTTCTGATTCCCCTTACACGCGCGTGGATATGCCACGGGGCGTTTTCTTCCAAACGCCCCACAGGCAGAGAACACTGACTTTCATGATAGTGAGATCGTTTCCCAAATTAATTGATTCACTAACCCAAAAGAAGAAGATGATGATGACAGTGGGAAGCAGGAGTCACTCTCTCCCT